CGAAACACACTTCCCTGTGATCCGATCACCAGTTGTGCCTTTTCAGCCCCGCAGCCTTGAGGGACAGGTGTAAATGCAGCACCAGCCCTGACACACTCTCAGAAACCAGCCCTGCTGCTCTTCATTTATTTATCCGCCCTTCCTCTTCCTCTCCATCCCTCTCATCCCCTCCAGGACGGGCTTCATTATTCCTGCCTGCATTCCTTCAGAGATGTGAATAAAAGTGACAGCGGGGGCTGCTGAAATGACAACATCAGCCTGTCTGCAGGGTCACTTGTCACCCTCCCCCCTTTGACTTCTCTTGCCACCCCCCCCACACCACCTCTCATGTGCAGCTGCTGCCACAGAGCACATCATCCGAACCCTCATGTGAACTCTACCTCTAAAACATTTCATAATTTAAAAGGAAATAACTCCGTTTTCAATTTCTAGCTGTTTCATTTTTTGTGGGAGTGACAGAGTGTTGAATGGGGGATTTTATTTAATTGTTATTGTCTTCTAGCAGGCACAGAGAATCATTTCAATTCAGTAAGATGTGCTGCTTTCACCAACAGATCGATCTTTCACTGTGAGATTATTATTGCAACTTTCAGAAATTGAAAATCCATCACCTTGATGTGAGCAGCACTCTGTTTCATGCATCAGTGATGATTATAGATTACACCAAAGAACAATATCTCAATTGTTACAAAACTAATTAATATAAAACTGTAAATATTTCACCCGGATCATCTTGACTCCAACCTCCTTGTAGCTGTCGAGGCTAGAGCAGTGTTTGATTTAAGCACTAAGAAAAAAAGAGAAAATGAAATGTGTTATTATACCAGATATCAGACATGGAGTAGTCCTCTGCTTTTTCTAAAGTCTAACAGAGAGATGCATTCCCACAACAACACTGTTTTATCAGAAACCAAATCAATGCTCACTGCCCACTCTCTTTCCATCCTTTTGATTTTGCAATTCTCTCAACGGCAAAAAATACTATTTTTAAACCGGGAACCAAAAGCACTTAAAGTGAAAAGCAACAAGTTGTTTATTAAAGTTGCAATTCAAGCAAGCTACATTTATTCATTATGTATTCTATAGGTATAGTTAAATATGTTATATTATTATATACAGCTGCTGTGATAGACCTAAATACCTACTGCTGTTTCCACTGCCTAGATCTTCTTTATTTATTTGTATATTTAAGTCTTTTTTTTTTAATATGCAAAGTCTCCCATGTCCACCTCTTTACCACACAAGCCTTCCTTTATCATCTCAAATATTATTTTTAAGTTCAGTAAGTTGATGAACTGTGGTTGAATAAAACATTTATTAAAAAAATATATATATGACCACAAATGCATTTAAATATAACCTATAAACTTGTACAATATTAAAAAAATGATATCTAATATTCGATGCAAATATTAAACCTTAAATTCTCACCTAGCCTCAGGTTCTTTTGTCTGATGTTCAACCTATAGATCTTAAGATATTATTTCCCTTAAACTCAAAGTATCATATGGCTTGATTATTCTCTATCGCTTGTTTATTATTTAGAAACAGTCTGAGTATCTCAATAAATCTCCCCCCTCCATCTCCTCTCCCGTCTCAATAACTCTGAATAAATAAACCTTTAGTATTACATCTTCTGTACCTGCAGACTTGGCCAAGGTCATTGAAAGATTCCTGCTCTCTTTACATGAAGCTGCTGTCAGCCCTGATTGTAAATAAGTGGTGCTAATAATGCATCGGCCAACAGGAGGTGCCATATAAACAACGGGCAGCAGCAGCAGCAGCAGCCTCCTCCTCGCTGTGTGTCGCCATGTCAGAGACGGAGGGGCTGATCTATGACTGCTGCGAGGCGGCAGGTCTATTCCTCCGCAAGCTGCACCGTGCCACGGCTTATCTCCGCCTGCGTCTTTAGCTGATGGATGACTGAAGCGGGCTGCCGGCAGCACAGAGGCGGGAGGGGAGGGAGGAAGACGAGGGGAAGGCAGAGAGAGTAGCGGCCCCCCAGTGGCTGAACACAAGCCTACAGACCAGAAAACACACCGCACAACCGAAAACACCACAGGCAGATAAAACACAACATGCCGCCCCCCATCCCCTGCTGCAGGCTGTGGATTATTTAAAAGTTATATGAGCAGCTTTACTTGGCTGTTTCTCGTCTGCCGAGGGAGCGTTGTCTGCTGCATCAAAGATGTATTGTGAACAGTGCATTTTATTACCCTTATGGTGCAGTGCCAGCAATGCTTTTTAGGGTTGTTTAGTAACTAAATAGCAGGCAGGATGGGTGTGTGCTGGAATTTCCTGTCACCTCTTATGAGCGAAGGAAAGCAGAGGACGTTACTCTGCCTGCCTTAAACTGGCAATATGTCTTCAAGTTTGGTATTTGGTAAATATAAAAACAGGATTTGTTTGTCGGTAAAAGCATTTTTAATCAAAACTTATAACTCTTGAAACATACAAAAACATTTTCTAAACCTAGGTCTTTGTTTTTATTTACAGTGTCAGTGCAAAGAGGATGTGGGTAGTCTTGAGTCATTGCGGTCTCCCCTCTCTTCTTAAAGCATGTTGTGATATCCTGTCGGCACACCGTGGCTAATCTTTTCACTATCTGATATGTTATAACAGACGGCAGTGTGATTTTCGTTGCTTTTGGCTAGTTGACTGATTGTCCTCCACCCTCGGGGGTTTACACACTGCTTTAAAAAAGGTCAGCTTTTAACAACAAGTCAAGTATAATAGCTCCATATTGGGTGAAAGTGGCTTTGTTTGCCTTTGGCTGGCTTGTGTCTGTGTTTTCATTGAATGACATTTAGAAAGGAATTATGTTCCATGTCTTAGCCTGCGCCCTGTTGGTCGTCATGATACCATCTTAGCGCGTTTGTCTGCTTTATCTTAACCAGTTTTACAACTCCCAACAAACAACTCTGGAGCAGGAAGTTCGCACACACAACAATGGCCTATTGAATCATTTTTTTCTGGACCTCCTCCTCCTTTTATATGTCTCCTCTCCTGCCTCACAATAGTGCTCTGTTAGTCTCCGAGGGGAAACTTGGGGCGGGTGAAAAGCGCCAGCTCCCTGGAACACACTCGCAGAGAGAAGCCTGTTGTTTTTGCTCAGCGGATGGCCATTTGGTAGCGCTTCCACCCAGCCCCCCCCCCCCTTTCCTCATCCTATCGTTCCTTCTCTCTCTCTCCCCGGCCCTCTCAGCCCCTCCTCTGCCGCTGTGTTTCCTAGCAACGCAGGGCTGGAGCAATAGGAGCAGGGGCAGAGCGATTCAGGGAGCAGATTGGCGGATGATTTATTAGCTGGGCTGTAGAGCAGTGAGCCCAGGCAGCTGAAATGGAGCCTTAAACTGGAGCCGACGTGTGGAGAGGGGAGGGGGGAGCCAGCGAGAGAAAGAAAACAGAAGAGAGGGGGGAGGAGAGAGGGATCATGCACACAGCTTCTCTATGGAGACAGACGCACAGGCTGTGTAAATAGTACAGTCAGGGAACATAATTAAGGGGACATAATTAGGACAGACACACAGGCTGTATGGGCAGGTCTAATCATTGACTAGTGCTGCCGTCACTGCAAGGATAGAAATCTCAATCGCAACTCCTCTCCAGTTGTAGTGCTTTGGTGATGAAACCTAACTCAATCCTGTCAGCAGAATCCCCGTCCGTCTTAAAAAAATAAGCTACCTCTGAAAATACTCATCTCGAATTCTTTCTCTCTTTCTTAAAAAACTACATTTTATAAAACGGTCATTATCTACGCACTTAGATTCAACTTCATGACTTGTGACACTTGTATTGGCTGGAAAAGGGAGCTGATTTCTTCAAGTAAATGTTTACTTAATTTTGTCATCGCCTGTCAAAGTAGTAATGTAGATCCTCTGAATCGCTGCCCTTCTCTGTGGAAGTTTGACTGACAGTCCAAACGGTAATCTGCTCCTCACCCCTTTGAGTGGTCGGATATGGGTGTCTGATGTTTTCGGGGGAGCACTTGTGTTGGAGACGGCTCCATCTACTGGCTAATCAACTGCTACACCTTCAGTCTGATTAATGCAAATGAACTGCTGTCTCATGTAATGAGGACCGGCTTCTTCTATTCAGCTGTCAGCTGTTAAACGTCTAGATTTCATTCAGGCCTGTCATTTTGGATTATTTAGTCTGGTTTAACTTGGACTACCTTTTATATTTTGTCCCTCACCATAAGGCAGTTAAACTTTAAAACGTGAGACTATTGACATTGTTTGTGTAATTGAGATAAACACAGTCATTCCTTCCTGTTGTTTATATAGGTCTGTTTTTCTCGCCTGTAATTACCCCTCCTAAAAAGACACTTGTGTTTAGCTGCTGGCTGTGTTACTTCTGTAAATTTGGCCTTTTGTTCCCCATCAAAATCTGGGTATGTAAACTGTGGTTACATAACGCACTGTTTATGGCATGGAAAATCTCCTGTCCTTCAGGACACACTCTGTGTCTGGTTTTCCTTCTCACTTGTCTCTTTCCACCATGTCCGAGACCTTTCTCCACACAAATAGTATCAGCCTGCCTCCCCTCTCCGGCTGGCAGCTAGTAGAGTTTGTGCCTCTGTGTGCGTGCTTACCCAAAGCTCTGAATGCATTTAAAGGAGTGCTGTGCTTTCTGTTCTAATGAAGTGGGCAGCTTTGGTGTAGCCTTTGTAACAAACATGGGCCTGGTGTTCCTGTGTGGGGGAGAGACATAAAGCCTGCTCATGCGGTGTTAGAGGATCAAGAAGAGGCTGAAATGAGCGCTGTGCTCGGCACAAACATGAAGCACAGGAATCCACTCCATGTTTTCCAGCCTGCTGCAAACCAGAGGCTCTCTTGCAGAAAGATCACATGTAAAGCCTTCCCCTTTGTAGTGGAAGAGCAGAGAGTGACAAGCTATTTCTTGCTTGTAAAAGAAAAGCAGGAAAAAAGCGATTTAACGTCAGAGACATTGTGGATTTTCTCCCTAATTCTTCCTATATCTGTGGCTGGACGTAGAGGTTTGTGCCCCGCTCCTTGAGGACTTTGATCTGCTTTTTGCTGGAGTTACTTGGTGGAAACGGTTGGCTGAGATCACTGAGAGACGGGGCTCGCCTCTGGAACAAGAAAGTAAATCTGTTGGTTGTCTGCTTCGCTGGTTATGAATGTTTTCAGCCTCCGCTATTCATGGCTTGCGGTCTGTGGCTCTTAAAGGAGAAGAAATACATTTAGGTAGTTCAGCTTTTTGCTATTTATCCATTGGTGATGTTGTTTTTGTGCTCAGTGAACTGAGGTGGTATGTTCACATTGCCTTTTCCTGTGAGATTAAATCTGATGTTATAAAGTAGCAATTTCTGTCATCATGCCTTTCCTTTTACTCATGTAAGGGTATATTTGTTGATTTTCATTTTTGACATGTTTCCTGTGCTTTTTAAATTGCCAAAAAATACAGACGTAAATAGAAACTGTCTAGCATGCACAGTGAGGCATCTACATGCTTTTAAACTCTCAAGTTTAGGCTCTGACTTCAACTTTGAATTTTTACTAACAACACATTCAACATGTATACTGGCATGTATGTTTTTATATTAGATTACATTTTCTTCAACAGTTTTCTCTCTCTAAATGAAAAGATGGGCTTAATCTCAGCGTCGCACTCTGCTTTACTTGTCATTTCCTCTCTCGTTTTGCTCTGACATGGCTGTGTTTTCTCCAGAGCTTCAACGGCGACAGAGATTTCTAGACACACATCAAACCTCAGACTAGCAAAAGGAAAACAATGTTTTTTTGGTGTCAGCCTCTAACTTAATGTGGTTGCAGTTTAGCTGACTTCACGGTTACTTACTGGTCTCTTTTTTCCTCCCTCTTCCTCTGTGAAAAATTGCAGAAGCGCTTCATTAAAGGGTTGAGACAGTTCGGCAAAAACTTCTTCAGGATCCGGAAAGAGCTGCTGCCCAACAAAGAAACGGTAAGACCTTTACATTTTGTCTATACTGTGGAACTTTTTCACTGTGTGTTTCATCTGTTTTATACCCACTAAACGTACAAGCTACATGTGGTTTGCTCGTAACTAATGGAAGACGCAGGCAGTAAAAATGTTTTAGTGATCATTTGAGCTATCTTCTAACCAGAGGCCTTATTGATAAGAAGTTCTTCTAGCCAACAACTGAGCTGCATCATTGTCAGATCTAGGCTTAATGCTGTATGTGAAAAAAGAAAAAATGGTGTTATACCTAAAAAGAGAAAAGGCTTAATTTCCCTTACAGATGCCACTGAAACTACACGCTGAACATTCATTAGCACCCTCTGTTAGCAAGTAGTAAACAAGCTGTGTTAAAGCAGATCTCAGACCTGCTCTATCTCATGATTGTAAGTGTTTCACATCACTTAAGACTTTTGGAGTAGTTAACTCTAAGGTGTAGCATAATGGCTCTCACAAGGAATCAAAAGCAGGTTAGTATTGGAGCCTTTTGAAGTGAATAACAGTAACAACTTATCTAATAGTTGTGCTGAAAACCTTTGTATTTTGTATGTCAAAGTGGCAACTTGAAGATCAATTATAGAAACAGAAGACACATGCCTTTCTTTATACAATCCAACTTCTCTCACTCCAAAAGTCATTGTAGTTAAAGATCTGAAAATTAAAACTCGTACCACTAATGTAGCATTGAGCACCTTCTGCTGTGAACACAGATTATTGTGTGCTTAACTATCTGAAAGGGTACATTATAATCTGTGTTGGGCATTATACTTCTTATTTCCTGGTAGTTTTAAGAACACTGACAAACATTTAGTTAAAGAAGACAGTGATTCAATATCTGCTGTGCTATGAGGAACTGTTTGTTGTTCATGTACACGGGGAGAAGGACGTCAGTTTCACTCCTCTGTGTGTGAGTGTGCGTGCGTCAATGTGTTAATCATTACTGAACTGTGACTTGTTTCATGGGACAAGTGGGTCAAATCCAGGACTAGCAATTATAAACAACAGCCAGGCTTTTAAAATGTGATAATCGTGTTGGAAACCAAAACATAGCAACCACCCAGACTGTGTTGTTGCTATTCAAACGCTCTTGCAGCGTTTCACTAGCATCTCTTTCTCGTTATATCTGCATAAGGAAAACTGTAAGTGAGGTGTTTGGTTTTGATCTCGACTACTAAGGAAACATGCTGTATATGTTTCATGTTCTGCAGAGTCCTCCACACTTTTGACTAAGCTGTTAAATGATTCCTAGCATGTTGATTCATAAAGCAATGCAGACCTTGCTGTTTTCTGTCGTGCTGCTCCTGCTGGAAGTGCACCCATACAGCGCTGACACACACATCAAAGGAAAATCAGAGGTGTTTGTCATACTTCATGTCCTCGTCTGCTGGAAGCTGAGGATATGTCGGCCCTGCTCCTCAAGCACCCCCTACATTTCATGTAATATTTTTACTCAAAAATTCTTTACTGTCACCTCCTTTGTGCTACATGCTTTATTCCTCAAAGCCAATTTGAACCTCTTGAATAAGAGATTAAAGTGTACGAACACAGTTTCCTCAAAGACGTTTCTTCAATTATTCTTGCTGGTTTTGAAATATACGACTAGTCCAGTTGATTGGCTATAAAGGAGGTATTAATGTAATTCTACCTGGAGGGGGAGTCTGCTTGGCAGGAGAGGTAATAGACCTCCTCCAGGATCACGGCCTGCCACCACCACAGAGAAGAGAGAGATTAATTTTCCCCCAACAAATGGAAAAGAAACTGCCCTTTAAACATATGTAAAGAGGAGAAATGGACTGGGAGAGCATGGGGAAGGTAGCAGCGACCGGAGGAGAAGGGGTGAAGTGGGGCGTTAGCTCAATGAAGACACTGAAAAGCCTGGTTTAAAGTTGATATTATTCTGTGTGACAACAAAATAAACTGTTTCTTTATGATTAAACTTACTTTTGTGCTATCGTACTGATCTGACCGAGTGCCAGTCAATACCCCGAGGAAAGCTCTATTTATTTTTCACCTTCTCAATCCAAAATCCTATCTGTGAAACATGAGCACAACAAGCTATTTTAGGTCCTGAGATTTTCCCATTATCTCCAGTCACAGGCACGCATTTCTGTCATTCCACTGGCATGCCAAGCCTTCAAAAAAGAAGCTGTAGCTGCAGAAAAATAATAATAATAAAACTGTTCCTTCCTTAAGTCGTACACAAACCACTGTCGTTGAGCAACAGCGCAAAGCATAAAACCCTTTGTGCTGATATCCAGAGGTCCGGTACTGTGTGTCTGCCCCTTATTTTCCTACCACTGCCCCCAATAGCCGCGCTGCCCCTGAAGTGCCAGCGCGCCTGAAACACCCGGTGCCAAGGGTAAGCACCCTTGCGCTGTGTAAACACACCGGGCCTGACTAGCACTCAGGAATGCTTTATATAAAGTCACATAAAGGCCCAGAGGGGGGAGTGGGTGTGTCGTCTGACCGTCTGCTACTCGCTTTGCTGCCACCATTTCCTTCAGAGAGGACGTCATGCAACATGAGCTTCCAGTGTTTAAACAACTAAATGTGCTGAAATGGCAGATCCGATTGCTCCACTCCTGATATTTTCACTGAGGAGGTTTTCGGGGATAGCAACACATGGTATTTGCAGAAAACATTTGTATCAGTTTCAGCTCCTTCTGATACATCTAAACAGAAGAGTTGATATTTGAAAAAAGAGTTACAAAGTTTTGGCTTTTCAACTGTCAATAGGCCCAAACTTTTTCATTGGTGGAAAATGTTCCCAAGTTAAATGTTAAGAAATGAATGTTGAATAAGGATTGTATAAACTTTTTTGTTTGTATTAATTTGTAAAAAGATTATAATTTTAGGGACACGGCTTTTCTCAGTGTCAATATGGATCACTGATTAAAAGAAACCTCAAAAGTCAACTCATGTCTAAAAATGTATTCATTACAGCTACTGTTCTGTGAGAAGTGTTACAAGCTACATGAAACACGTACAAGCAATTTATTTACTTTATGTTCAAATATCATTGTATTATGTATTTATAGATCATAACAATGTTTTTACAATAGCACCCAGAGCAACCATAATCGAATAAACTCCATAAAGCTTTTGTTTTATGATTGTAAATTATTGTCGATAGCTTTGTGCATGCCAGAATGTTTATCAGTTCAGTTTCCCCCGAGGCTCCGTTCCTGCATCCTGTTGTTTATTATCTCGTGACTGCTCCTCTAAAAATATGAAAGTTCATTCAATAAATTGGTACAGAATAAGCATAAGCACAAAAAATGTGATATTATTGTATTCAAGTCATACTTTGTATAATGATAAAGTCAATATTTATTAAGAAAAGTTTAGTTATATTCATCTATATAGAAATATAACACAGTTGTAGTAATACATTCACAACATCAGCTGCAAGTGATATTTACTATAGGAAGGGGGAAACATGATTCTAAGAACCCTTTAGTGCTGCTGTTTCCAGCCAGTGGCAGTGTGTTAGAATGGTTCATGTTAACGTCACTAGTCAAACAAGTGTTTTTAGATGGCAAACAGTTTAATAAAACATGACCCCTTCATTTTTCAGCCGTACTTGTAGCAGGTGACGGAACAGGCCGGTACACAAAGGGCACTGTGCCCGTAGAGCATGTTAATAATTTTAAATTAATATAGACGACCCCAGCTTTAAAATCGTGCCTTGCTTGTGCTGAGCGGCTCTTGCAGCATCTTATCCTCTCCCCTCAGCCTACCCCACCCCGGGCCCTGTCATTTACAGGATGGCCGACAGGAGAACAGTGTTCCCAACACAACCTCACAGCAGATGTTTGCCCCGGTACAATCTGTACGAACGTCAAATTGAATCCATTGCCATGTCCTCAGCTCCGAGCCAGAACCTTGGGGATGAATGTGATTATAAATACTTTGGTTCAAACACTAATTAAAGCAGCTACAAACTACAGGGGCCTGGTCCAGTTGGCAGCCGCTCTCATTAGTGCGACAGAACGTTTCTGTGTTTGGTAAATGATATAACTTGTTTAGGCATCGAAATCGCTTTTGGCAGAAAGAAGCTCAACTAGCACGTATTGATGTTCTTTTAGCGACCACCGGCAATTTAGCACAGCAGAGTGTGTAGCCTAATAGACGGAGAACCGGGGCTCCATGTGTAATTGAGTTCTTTGGTAGGCTCATGTTGTGGTTTTTGGGGGAACCACCTTATCAGCAGAACAGGTACGATCAACCCTCCAGCAGAAAGGCACTGTTGCCATCCAATCTACTTTCATTGGCAAAAGCGCTTACAGCAGGAAAAACACGAGTGCTGATTCTTCAACATGTGCATCCCTGACCTGTGAAAGCAGAGCTTATTCAGTCGTTCTCCAGCAGAAAGGCGCTGCGCAGCAGGGATGGCTGTCTATTTAAACGCTTTTCACACGCACTCTGCTCCACAAGCCAAGGTCCTTTCACTAGTATTCAGTCACAAAAAATATATATTTGATTTAATCCATTATTCATATTCAATTTGCAGGAATGTTTTTTAATGATTTATCTGCATATTATGTGAAAAATACAATTGAACTGAAGTAATAGAGCATTATTTTAATCATCAATATCCTTTAATGGTTACTTTAATAGGAATGGGGTCATTAGGCTCAAGATAAATAAACATGCAATTTTTCAATTCAATGTCAAATGGCCCTGCAGGCATCACAAACACACCTCTGACCTGCTTATCCACACTGGCAATTACAAAGTCACCCCCTACAGTTACAGTCAGCATGAGGAGGATGTAAAAGTCAAGCACCACTCACTGAAACGATACTGTTCAACCTGTCACGGCTGATGAAGAATACCTAGTCCAGGGGTCGAGCACATACATAATTAAACACTGGTTTGATTTAGCTCAGAGAAATATGTCTCCCTTCACCTCACTGCCATGAATCAAGAAGCAGTTCTCCCTCCTCCGGCTGTGCAGAAGCAGGAGGAGCGCAGGATCATGCAGCACTAATGGATGTTTACACAGCTCCCTATCAGCCACCAGAAACCGCATGCGCAGCAGCTAAACTGCTACCTTCTAGTTTTTAGCAGACATTATTATTGGCAGAGAATTTTTTTCCCAGTTGTTGTGGTGAGATTCAATGTCAATTGTCCATTGTTGTCCACTGCTGGCTCTTTATTCCTCCCTCTCGGCCCTCCCCCTCCTCAGCTCGCCCCTGTTCTCTCCTCCTTCCCCTGCTCTTGCCAGTAACGGCCTTAACCGTTTGGCTTCATGTCAAAGCAGGGGCCTTTTGTGGCTCTGTCACAAATCTGCCAGGAAAAACAGAAACCATCTGTTCGGGCCTGGGCCTGAGAGGGGATGAGGGTGTAAATACACAAGTTTAGCCTTCACCCCCAGCCCTTCCCCGCACATACAGGCCCACCGAGCCCCGTGCAGGACCATGCACTCCCACTCAGCCGCAACCTGTACTCCCACCAGCAATTAAACTGTAGAGGATTCATGCTAACATACCAGTAGAAGTCTTACAAACCGTAAAATTAGATAGTTTACAACACAGACGCAGAGTTTAAAACCTGTCGACTATAGAATTACAGGGTTACATATAGTTTTTATATATAATCATATAAATACATAAAAACTGTGTATTTTAATGGCAGAATATGATTTGTATAATACACTCCAAAGCATAGATTATTTTTAAAGGCATTTATTCTAATTTAGTAGAGTGCAAATCGTTTTACTATGGTGGAAGAACTTGTTCATCAGCGAGTGTCATGAAAACATTACTGTACATAATCTTACTTCACATCCATTTTCTCACACAATTTTAAGTGGCAATAACTGGAATGGAAGTCGTGATAGGAGGGTAAGCCCTTTCCTTGTCGGATAATCCAGTGGCCAGAAAGCTCCTGCAGAAGGAAGCAGTCTAAAAGGCCTTATAATGCTGAGCTTATGTTGTCACTATCTTATGAACTGCGGAGTGGCAGCACACTCTGTACCGCTCTGCAGTGATTTACAGGAATGGGGGGAAATTATGGCGCGGAGGACTGGGCCAATTTACATTTCTATGTCAAGTATTTCCATGAATGTTTTGCGGATACCGGTGAACTGTTTTAGTTGCAGGTTCATGGAGGGCTTTTCAGTTTTACTGTCGTCTTCATTTTAAGAAGAAACAAAAACATTACTCAATAACTACGTACAAAGTCGCTGGCTAAACATCCAATCATGGAGAGGAAACGCTAGTTGAGGGAAGTTTAAGTGTTGGAGTGGGAATATGGCAGCATGACAAAATGACTTTGATAGAGAAAAGAACACAGTCAGTGTATGAGGTGAGAATTGTTGTCAGGGGAACCACATTTGACGTTCAGGCAGTCTAAGAGGGGTAATCTGTCGAACTCCTGTTGACTGCACTTTAGTGACAGTCATCAAATAGCAATGCACTACAGTTTGCCAGTGACTGTATGCAAAATGTGCGGACTGTTGAGGTAAAATATGTCCACCACATTCCTTATTTTTAACTGGCAATAACTTTTCAACTCAAAACATTTAGTCAACTTTAACAAAGCGGCTTCTTTTGTTTTCCCTTTTTCATTTATACCCTGCTCTTCGTTGCACCTGTTATTTCACATTCAAAAGCCCAAGTTAATGTTTTCATTAGCCTCTGCCTAATGTAAGGGTACTTGACACAGTGTAAGTGATGGAGAGGCAGAGTGTCCTTTCCCCGCGTCTGCCAAGCTGTTGTTGGGGCCGTGTAGTTGTCAGCCTGCAGGGAGGAGGCAGAGAGGCACTGCTGAGAACAGTCATTAGACACGGAGCAAAGCCAGCGCTCGGCAACACTCGACACTTTTGATCTGCACATTTCAATTAGATTTCACATCAGGACGCCTGCCTTCCCTCAGTTAGCACCTGCGCCCTGCTTTTCCAACTGCCCGGCCGAGGGGCTGAAGAGGGGGGCCGCACAGGGAAGGAATAGAAAGTTCTCTTACCAGCCTGAAAGAGAAGCAAAAAAACATGGCATCATAAAAGAGCTATGATCATAATTAGCTGCTCTGATCTTGGCATGAACATGGACAAACAATTGGAGATACTATAACAATATATATATATTTGTCTCTGCTTGGCTTTAACATGTAAATCTGTCTCTGTACTAAAAACCCAACTAAAGCAGTGGGTCTTGAGACACCTGTCCTCTGGAGCACCGGCATGACACAGCACCTTAATTTACCCTGACATTTGAGAAGGTTTCATTGAGCTCAGACACCCTCAGTAAATGTTCCCGTCTCTGCTCTGCCTGATAAGACGTGAGTCCTACACTCACTAGTAGATATGAATTTCCCCTAAGAGCCACATGAAGGGAGATCTTATTAAACAAGCCTAAGCCTGCTGAGTTGAGCTTTTCTACCAATCAAAGCAGTGATTGAGACTTGACTTGTTCCTTAATGTCAAATATCCAAACGACCTGTTGAACAATAAAGGAGCAAAGGCTGGCCTATCCCTGACCTGTGTTTTCTCATATACCAGGAAACCAACTAGCCTCAAGTTGCTTTGTATTTCATGAGATAACAAATTAAAGCAGCAGTTACCCTCATGTTTTCATTAACACCAGCCTTTATACTTTGAGATTGCTACTTGCAACTGTCCACCATTTCATCTTATCCTTTCCTGTTCTGTAACATTTTGGGGTAAGATGTTAAGCTGTCGCTGAAAGCCTTTAATGCATTTTAGAGAGCAATGCACTGACTAATTTATGTTGCGTTTCTCAGCTAAGGCGAAGAAGGAAAACAATCGATAGCCATTAAACCCTGGGAGCTTTGTTGAGCAGCAGTTTAACAGACCTCAGACAAAGATTACAGGTGACTGACCGCCAACCAACAAGCGCACCACACCTCGATGAATTTGTGGAGGACCACTAACAAGTGAGAGGTCAGAGTAAGGGAGAAGAGGGCAAGGCCCCACAGGAAACGACATAATTGTTTCTGACTCCTGTCGCCAATTTTCAAGGCTTGTCTGTCATGAGTGCGCCCGGCAAGCGTCAGTTAATATGCACAGGCTGCCTCAGCAAAGTGCTTTCTGATTCATGATTGCATGTGTTAATGTTTCAGTTGGGTATTGATTTCCTGGATGGCCTTTAGTACACTGGATTTATCCGCCTCGCTCGCTGGCAAGCGCGCTCCTACGAATGTTTGATTAAAGTTCAATTGACTCTTCCAGTGAAGGGGCGAGGAGCCATTTCACTCCCTATTTGTAGCGCCAAAGCTCTGCCTGACATGTTCTTTTGTTCCCATTCAAGCTCCTGCCACCCAGGCAGCAACCAATGCACTGATCCTAATATCCCTGCATTCACTGAGCCTCTCCACTAATCCTGGGACAGACAGGGCCACAGCATAAACATCCCGGCCAGTGACAAATCCCGGCATGGACTTGTCCACTTCATGGCCTTTAACTCTGAAATACTGTGCTGACTGCTAATGTGTATCATCCACATCATTGATCATCTGAACTGCAGATATTTCACAGTGAAGATTTTCCAACATCTCGGACAAATAGACCTTTCATTTATTTTCCACGGGTCACCTCTTTGCGGTCAAAAGCGATGCCTCGTTTTCAATATTTTGACTGCTTGTGTTCCTGTGATATAATTGTCAGTTTTTAACTGAATGTCTTTTCTTTTTCGTTTCAGGGAGAGCTTATTACCTTCTACTACTATTGGAAAAAGACCCCCGAAGCGGCCAGTTGTCGAGCCCACCGACGACACCGCCGCCAGCCCGTCTTCCGCCGCATCAAGACGCGAACAGCCTCTACTCCTGTCAACACTCCCTCACGCCCCCCCTCCAGCGAGTTTTGTAAGTACATTTGATCATTTCATTGGCCGTCAGAGAGCAGAGTGGGAGACATGTTGACCTGATATATTCTGGTTTTCCCGGGTTGTTTGTAACATTTGTTTTCTTCCTCTCTCTTCCAGTGGACCTCAGCTCAGCCAGCGAAGATGACTTTGACAGTGAAGACAGCGAACAGGAGCTGAAGGGCTACGCCTGCCGCCACTGTTTCACTACCAGTAGGTTACCACGTTACACATTTACAGACCCTCATACTGGTCAATAAGAACCTCTTTGGCTATTCCTGTCTTTATTAGCAACAGTGTGAGCTCTCACAACACAGCATTGTGTGACAGATGGGCATCAGAAAATCTAATTTGATAAAGTAAGGCATGAGCCCCCAGCTCGTTCACCTCATTATCTTTCTACACAGCTGGCTCACAGTGCCAGGATCTGATCAGACTGCCATCACAACTAGGGCGTCTAATAACACTGATATCATGGTGTTAACCCATGTAGACCTTATTAGTACATTACTTAAAGTGAAGTGATCATTTATCATTGATTCATCAACCGCATGAAAGATATTTATCTCGTTAGATGCTACAAAGTGACTTCTCTTATTTTGACAATATTATTGTGTGATCTTCTTACTACCCGTGTGAGTGTTTTTTCACAACTGTAAATGGCTTTCCTCAGCCTCCAAGGACTGGCACCACGGGGGTCGGGAGAACATCTTGCTTTGCACAGACTGCCGCATTCACTTCAAGAAGTACGGTGAGCTGCCCCCCATAGAGAAGCCTGTGGACCCGCCGCCATTTATGTTCAAACCTGTCAAAGAGGAAGAAGATGGACTCAGCGGGAAGCATAGCATGAGGACCCGACGGAACCGAGGCTCGGTGCGTACACACTCATCTGTCCCTCTATTTTCACCTTCAGGAACCATCGAAGAGGTGTCCCTGGAGCCAGACGGCTAGCAATAGGCTGCTCCTCAAGTAGCACAGGGACAGCTTTGAAATTCACTGTTTCACAAATGTTGGTTTTATAAATAAAGATAGATAAAATTTGGATTGGAACTTAAATGTGGATGTCCATCTTTATTTCTTATATCCAAATATATGACGCCCTCATATTCCTCATTATTCATGATTCTGTTTGTTGTTCAGATGTCGACGCTACGTAGTGGTCGTAAGAAGCAGACCAGTCCTGATGGCAGAGCCTCACCTACCAACGAGGATTTGCGCTCCAGTGGGCGTACCTCGCCCAGCGCAGCAAGTACCGACAGCACTGACAGCAAGACGGACTCCATGAAGAAGCCCAGCAAGGTAAGCACAGCGCAGACTGCTGTAAACGTTGTTATTCTTTGTCTTTGTGAAGTGTCCCCTAACGGCTCTGCTTCTTTGGCTCCACAGAAAATTAAAGAGGAGGCTCCTTCACCTATGAAGAGCGCCAAGCGGCCGCGAGAGAAAGGAGCCTCAGACACAGAGGAGCCAGACAGGGCCGGCGTTAAAAAGTCCAAGACACAAGTGAGTCCGGGGTCTTTGTGATGTTCTATACTATTTTAAAGGAATGCATAGACTTGGTGTTATGATATACAGGTATTGACGATAAATGACATGTAAAAATGTACAAATAAAAAATGTTTTATACACAAATAGAATATTATGAACATAAACCAGCCCATCCTAATTATTACCTTAACCGTTTAGTACAAATCTGATATTGAGAGAGCCTTATTTTTTATCCTAATACCTTTCTCTGCTCTGTCCCTCAGGAGCTCAGTCGACCAGACTCGCCCTCAGAGTGCGAGGGGGAGGGGGAGGGCGAGAGCTCTGACGGGCGCAGCGTCAACGAGGAGCTCAGTAGCGACCCTAAGGACATTGACCAGGACAACCGCAGCTCCTCCCCGAGCATCCCCAGCCCGCGGGACAACGAGAGCGACTCAGACTCGTCCGCCCAGCAGCTCCTGCAGAGCCAGCACCTCCTGCAGAGCCAGCACCCCCCAGTCATCCAGTGTCAGCCCGGCCCCTCAGCAGCCTCAGCTGCACTGCCTCCACCCACAACCTCAGCCCCCTCACTGCCCCCACAGGCCTCCCCCACAGCGGCCTCCACCTCTCTACCTCCCCTGTCTCTGCCCCAGCCAAGCCCAATGTCTCTTATCCAGTCAGGAGCGTCCCTCCACCCTCAAAGGCTTCCCTCTCCACATTCACCTTTGGCTCCGCCTCCCGGCCCCCCAGGTCCACCTCCGTCATTACCCAGCTCGCATCACGGGCCCATGCCTCCCATGCCCCATCCGCTGCAGCCTGGCCCCTCACACATGCCTCACCCTCACTCCATGCCCCCTCAGGGCTTCCCTGTGGGTCAGTCTCAGGTCCCACCCCTTCAAATCCCTGGCCAATCACAGCAGAGGTCGCACTCGCCTCCCTCTCAGTCCCAGTCATCCGCTCAGAGTGGATGCCAGCCTCCCAGAGAGCAGCCCCTTCCCCCCGCCCCTATGTCCATGCCTCACATCAAGCCTCCCCCAACCACACCCATCCCACAGATGCCCAACCCACAGTCTCACAAACACCCGCCCCACGCCTCAGCGCCTCCATTCCCTCAGATGCCTTCAAACCTGCCTCCACCTCCTGCCCTCAAGCCCCTCAGTTCTTTACCCATCCACCATCCTCCATTAGCACACCCCCCTCCCCTACAGCTCATGCCTCAGGGGCAACAGCTCCAGCCTCCACCAGCCCAGCCCCCCGTTCTCACTCAGTCCCAGAGCCTGCCCCCATCAGCCAGCCACCAACCTCCTCAAGCCCCTCCCCTGCCGCCCTCCGCAGCAGCAGCCTCACACCCCAGCGGACCCCCGCAGCCGACCTTTACGTCGCACCCTTTCAATACAGTTCTACCTCCGTCAGGCCCTCCCCCCACCTCATCAAACTCTATGCCTGGCATACAGCCGCCTTCCTCCTCCGCTCCCTCCTCCATCTCCATGCCACTGCCTGCCTCAGTCCCGTGTGCCGGCCCCGGCCCGGTACTCCCACCTGTACACATCAAAGAGGAGCCTCTGGACGAGATGGAGGAGCCAGAGAGCCCCCCACCCCCACAGAGAAGCCCCTCCCCAGAGCCTACCATCGTCAATGTGCCCAGCCATGCCAGCCAGTCGGCACGGTACGTCTACACATACATTTCTACACAAACACAATCTGTAAGAGAGAAAAACACACACCTACACAAGATGCTGGCTTCTACATGTCAGTACTCTGTTGAGCTGCTTACTGTCTTGTCTGGGGATGCTGATTAGCTCTCAAACACTTCCAACAACAAAGACACGCTGCCTTCAGATTTGAAGGCTTTGATGTAAGCAACAAATCAGATGTCCTCAGCAAAACAGCCATCCAAGGCCACAATTAGCCCTGAACTCTGAGAGGCTGATGGCGAGGAATTATCAGGGATGGAGAGCAGGGAGATTAATTACAGTGAGATGCGAGTGAACCGAGGCATCTGAATATGAGTATCTGTAGTTGCCTTGTGTTTAAGTGCCTCTCAGACTGCCAATGAATAGCAATGAGGGTTTTGATACATACTCAACACAGCAGCAAAAGTGAATATCAAGGGAGTTTGTTTCCTTTTGAATAATGGAGCCGTGTAAGCGTTTCATCTGATGAGACATTAGCCTGCTATTCAATATGCTCAATTAAACATTTATATCTCTTTATACTATTTTGTTTGCTTTGTAACCAGTATTGATTTATGAACGGCAACATCTTTCCATTTTTCTGAGTATTGTTTTATCTTGCCCATGACCACAGGTTCTACAAGCACCTGGACCGGGGATACAACTCGTGTGCTAGGACAGATTACTACTTCACTCCACTGGCTTCATCGAAACTGGCCAAGAAGCGAGAGGAAGCTCTGGAGAAAGCCAAGAGGGAAGCAGAGCAGAAAGTTAGGGACGAGAAGGAGAGAGAGAGGGAGAGGGAAAAAGAGCGAGAAAGAGAGCGGGAGCGAGAAAAGGAGCATGAGCGAGCTGTGGTGAGTGCTTTTGTTTTGCTCTGCATAGTAACCATTATTTTTCTTTTGAATCCTTCTAAACACAGTGTTTCTTTCTCTACAGAAAGCCAGTTCCTCTCATGATGGCAGGATGGGTGACCCTCATATGGGCGGCCCTGTTCACATGCGGCACCAATACGACGGGCCCCCCACTACGATCGCAGCTGTGCCTCCGTACATCGGCCCCGACACTCCTGCCCTGCGTACACTCAGCGAGTACGCCCGACCCCACGTCATGTCCCCTAACAATCGAAACCACCCGTTCTTTGTGTCCCTCAACCCCGCAGACCCGCTGCTGGCCTATCACATGCCCGGCTTGTACAATGCTGACCCGGGCATGCGGGAGCGCGAGCTACGGGAGCGAGAGATGCGCGAGAGGGAGATTCGTGAGAGGGAGCTGAGGGAGAGGATGAAACCTGGTTTCGAGGTTAAGCCTCCAGAGATGGACTCACTTCACCCTTCCACAAACCCCATGGAGCACTTTGCCCGGCATGGAGCCATCTCGTTGCCCCACATGGCCGGCCCTCACCATTTCGCAGCTTTCCATCCGGGCCTGAACCCATTAGAGCGTGAGCGACTGGCCCTCGCTGGGCCCCAGCTGCGGCCAGAAATGAGCTACCCAGAGAGGTTGGCTGCAGAGAGACTCCATGCCGAGAGGATGGCCGCAGTGGCCAACGACCCCATCGCCCGCCTACAGATGTTCAACGTCACGCCACACCACCACCAGCACTCACATATTCACTCACACCTACACCTCCACCAGCAAGACCCTCTTCACCAAGGTAAAAGAAAGCCCCGTAGACATGCATGCAAACACCACTTATAAATACTGCATTATAACAGAATAACTAACTTAATTCTAAAAAACTAGATTATATATTGTGTTATATTCAAATTAATATATTAAAACATAGTTTTTCACTTTTTTGTGTGATATTCATGTTAGTATGTTATATCTTGTGTATTTTGACATAGAAAGGCTGAAAAGATTAAAAAATATATTTATAAAGTAAATATAAGTAAAAGTATTTTTTAGTACCAAAGATAGAGCCTAGGGGCACTCAGATAAATGTTTCTTATTGGACATGCGTGAAAAGCAAGTTCATATTTTATTGTCTCTGTAGGAATGTACAGCGTTGACATATGAGATAAGATTAAGGCATATTATAAACTCAGAACATTTCTGATAGAGCCAACAGATGCTTTACAGAGGATAAATATAGTAACACTGTCCCTGCACTCTTTTGGTCAACCTTGAGAGGAGCTGCGTGTCACTAATGCCCAAAGCATGCACTGTCTGTGATACTCTGTAATGAAATGAATGTACCATTAACCTTATTCTCTGCCCCCTAATAGGTGGGGAGTGTTTAGTGTGTCCTCCAGGCTCTGGGGGCCATCCCCTGGTAGACCCCCTCGGAGGCCCTCACCTGGCTCGCTTCCCTTACCCCCCCGGCGCCATCCCCAACGCTCTGCTTGGCAACCCGCATGAACACGAGATGCTGCGCCACCCAGTCTTCGGTAGGCTTTCTGCCAATGTCCTCTGTCATTTAAGGCCATCCAATCTATCAATCTCTGCCAGATGGCCTGATCTAATCTCCTGTTTGTGCCTCCTGCAGGTACTCCATACCCCCGCGAGCTGCCGCCACAGATGTCCGCAGCCCACCAGCTGCAGGCCATGCACGCTCAGTCCGCTGAACTCCAGAGGCTGGCCATGGAGCAGCAGTGGCTACACGGGCACCATCACATGCACGGAGGACCCATGCCTGGCCAGGAGGACTACTACAGGTACAACAAAAAATGTGATTAAAAAAACCTTTGGATTATATGACTTTGTGATTTCCATTGACTTCCGTTGCCGAATATTAACACTTTGTTGCTTGTGTTTCAGTCGGCTGAAAAAGGAGAGTGACAAGCAGCTGTAACCATCCCGAGAGGCAGCGACTGACAGGTGCAGGACACGGGAAGATGTTACAGAGTTGTTCATTCAGTTTTGAAGAACAGAAAAGGCCAAGTGGATCGTCTGAGAATTCTTCTGATATTGGGTTTTTGTTCCCGTCAAGGACTCCTTATTTTTCTTTATTATAATTTTTCAAGACATTTACTTTCTTTGGTATATAGCCAGTAGTGACAACGTCATCAAGACTCCTGCATGACAAGCTTCCCTGACTTTTTTTTGTAGGTGCTAGAACAAGACACTGTGCTTATAAACAAAAAAAAGACAAGACCGGTCAGGCCGTTTATGGAAAAATAACAAGTGCTATCTTAAACTCAACATTTATTTTAATACATTGTTGAAGGTTTTTCATAATTTTAAGAAAAGCTACAGCATGGCGTTTTTGAGTCTGTATATAGTATATATAAACATATAATTATTATTATAATTATTATTATTACTAGGTGTGGACTCCAAACCAAGTCATTTCAACCTCCGATATAATTGTTTTGAAGCATTATCCCTTGTTTCAGAGGGGAGCACCATGGCATTATATGAGCAGTTCCTGAGAGAGTTGTGGTTCAGTTGTAACGTTCCTCTGACCTCACTGTGTTAGATTTAGCCACACACACACACACACACACACACACACACACACACAACACACACACACACACACACACACACACACACACACACACACACCATGAGAACCATATACCTGTCACACACACATCCATTCATCATACACCTTCAACACACCACAGGTTGTCACAATGTGTAAACTCAACATGTTGAGTTAATCATTTGAAAGACTTGAAGAGGTGACACAGAGTCACCGAGGTTTCTGTGGAGTGCACACGGAAGCCATGGATTTGGAATGGAAGAAAGAGTTTGCACTGAGAGAATTTCCTTAAGCTCCACTCAATTGGTTTTTATTCTTTTCGCCTTAACTCAATAACAGAGTCCAGACATTGGAGTAATATTTCATTTTTTTTTTTTTTTTTTTTTTTCAGAGATTTTAATTGTGGACTCCAGAGACATATTTGGCTGAGCTGAAGACATTTTAAAATGCTTCCAGTTTTTTAAATGACCAGGACCTGAGTTGTATCTTTGTTCATTGTATCAGGAGGCTAACATGACTTCAGGATTGTTTTAAATGTGTGAATGGTTTGTGAGTCGGTGCTATTTGTGTTGTTGACTTCCCCTTTTTCTTCACCTGGTCCGGTCACCCATGTTCGATGCAGGGCTCGTGTCTGACTGAGAATCCTCCAGCTAGGCTGTAATAATGTTCACTGTGACACTAGAGGAGGGGCCTGCCGACACGAGACCACCAGGAGCTAGAGGGTCATGATTGTGTGCGAGCGTGTGTGTTTTCCTCACAATGTTTCCGTATGCCTTGTTTCCTTAGGGATACACACACACTCCTGGGCCTCGGTGTGTGTGATTGTGTGTGCCACTGACTGTTACAAGTTGTGTTGACCTGTCATACCAGTGCACATGAGCTCAAGTATTTTAGTTTTGCTGTAGCCATGAAAGAAGTTCTGGTTTTGTTTCATGCACTAAGACTGTTTGACCGTCATGGACATTTAAAAAACTGTGGCTTTTTTTTTTTTTTTACCAAATGAAGAAACTGTACTTTTAAAGTGACCATATCTTCCCCTTGGAGCACTATCATTTACATTTAAATGCTTGCAAATGTCATCAAACTCACACCCCCTTTTTACAAATCCGAAAAGTCTTTGAAGCTCCGACAAGAAACCCGTCTCTTTGTCTTGTCATCTCCCACCGATCTACATCTCTCATCATCATCATCATTATCATCATCTTTGCCTCGTTTTCCTGACGATTCCCTTGCCTTTTACTCCCTCTTTTTGTGTCTCCAAAACCTTTGATGTTAAGTGTTGTCAATGGTTTAGCTTCTTGTTTCAAAGCGGCAATAGCAGAATGTAAATTCTGACTGCTAAGATTTATATATATACTGGTATCTTGAAGCTTATTGTATATATGAGTAGTCGCCATGGGATGACACAATGTAAACAAAAAGTAGAAATAATAAGAAAAATTGTGAGTCCTGTGTTCTCTCCATTTGAGTATTTTGTAATTTTTTTGAAAAATTTGTGGAATTAAAATAAACGACTAAGTTACACCACAGGAACATGTATTTTGTCTCTTGCCTTTTGATGCATCATATCGATTTCTTTGTGAACTCGTCTGTTTGTGTGCTGAGGTAGAGCACACTGCTAAATCCCACCAGCTGTGAGACACAATAATCCTGTTGTAAGGGTAAACCATTTTGATTACTCACCGCTCGGTCACTAAATGGCAAAGAAAGAAAGCAGTAAACGCTTAATTCCCTCTGTTTGTTTGTTTTTCATTTGTGAAATGTAATTCTCCAGCTGAGCAGAGGGACTGATGCTGGGTCTGTCTTGATAATACTCATGTCCTACATTTGCTCTTGAATAATAGAGTTGTTGCTTGACAGGAGAAACATGTTACAGAATAGATCAGGCATTCCTGTTTCTTATTTGTTACCCAGCCTTTCATTTTCTCAGCTACACAAACAAACACAGCTTTAGGAGATCACCCCAGCAGCAGGTAGTAAATCTGAGAGCTGAATATTGCTCTGCTATGGTATAATAACATCAAAGCCAGGCTAAGCCAGAAGGAGCACTTGCTCAGGATGAGATGCCTTGCTGTCAGCGGGGCAGGGCTGTCATTTCATACTGTGTGTGTGGGGAGTGATAGACTAGCAATCTGTGATGGTGTGCCGCAGCGATGGCTGTCATTTTGAGAGCGAGCTATTATTCTACTGCTGCTCTCTGAAATGATGCCCTGTCCTCGGTAAAATTGAGGTTCCTTGGATGCTCTATCCTGGGGCTGTCATGTGACGGCCGCCTTGTGAGGAGGTGCTGCTTGTTGTCGCCAGCTCACCTCAAGACACAACAAGACGTCAGAGCCGAGCAGCGGCGGCTGGTTGAATAATTCATATCCCCTCCTCCTCCTCCTCCTCCACAGCAGCGACGGAGCGACTGTGACTTGTGTCAACTCAAATCCTTCTCATAATACTGTGTGTACCCCTCAGGCAGGCACAAGGGGATACATCTTCTCAAAGAATCTGCTCTTTCTGTCTGAATAGCTAAATGTTCTCGCTGTGTTATTGTAGGCTATACGCTGCAGCAGGTCTCGGACACGGAGCTTCCTCATCCCCTCCATCCTCCTGCCTCTCCTCTCGCTCCGCTGGGCTGGCGGCTGCAGAGTGATGCCCAGCTGCAGAGGAGCCTACATGCTCTAATGGCGCATTTCCACTACAGCGCGGTTTAAGCGTGCCGTGCCGCGCCCGGCCTGTTTTTGGTTGCGTTTCCACTGGTTTCCACTAGGCGGAGTTCCGGCTAGCGGGTACTTTCACAGTTTTTCTGGCTCTCCCCCGTTTTTTCGGATTGTAGTTATAATTTAAATAAATAAATAAAAACACTTCGTTTAGTTTTTGGAAATTCTTTGTAGTGTGTTGCTGCCGGCCCGTCTCTCCCCCATTCTCATTGAGTATTTTACAAAGAGTGAAACAGCACCCCTCTAGATGTTATGGTGAAACAGTAGATTGCACTCTCTGTTGCGAGAGGAGGCCAGCCGAAATTTGCTGGTTATGGCCGGCGCTGGTTATGGCTAGAAAGGATCCGTCTTGTGTGAATATGACGTCACGTTCTCGTTGTAACTCTCGTTGGAGCGGCTACAGCAGTAACATGCAACATACACATTAATGCAGTAGTAATATTAATAGAGAAACATCAGACATAATAGTAAAACACTGAAAGTGAACATTGTATTGCACCAGGAGCTATCTTGGGACTTTTGCTGCGACAACGTTGACTTGCCTGTGAATAAAAAATAAACCATAGTTTTGGTGATCTACAGTGTTGTCATTCTAATTTGAACAGCAAGACCGCTAACACCCTATTTCAACAATCACACTCCCTGTCATTGACATCATTAATAGATGGTTTAGCTTCTCACCATAATTTGCTGTGGCCCACTGATGTTAACGATCGTAACTGAAAGGCTGCCTGCCAAACGTAAACATTCAGCCACGTGACTTGCAAACTATCGCGAGAGTTTTACACTAGACGGATCCTTTTTAGCCATAACCATGGATGTATAATAAGGCCATAACCCAGGGGGACGGATCGGGTAGTGACAGTGACAATGTGAACGAGCCTTGTGGGGGGGCGTGGTTAAAGTTGCACATGCTCTATGAGCGCACATACGGGTACTTCTCTATGGAATGCCATTCAAGCCGAAATTAAATAAATAATTAGATAAATACATATATGCCTATGAAATAAATTCTGAAATAAATAAATGAGGCAATAAATATGTATACATGTACATTTAAATACACATTTATTTCATGGGACTTTTATTTCATAATGACACATTTATTTATTTCAGGGGACTTGTATTTCATAATGACACATTTATTTATTTCAGGGGACTTGTATTAATGGAATTTATAAAGCGTCTTTCACGGGACCCAAGGTCGCTGTACATGGTGGACAGACAAAACAAAACAGACAATGATGAGCAAACAAAAACAAAAAATCAATAAAATAGAATAAGGAAGCCGGGGGACCAGGAAAGGACTAGGGTCCGAAGGCCATTGTGAACAGGTGTGTTTTCATTGAGGATTTGAAGATTTCCAGTGAGGCAGCGTTCTGGATCTCGGCAGGAAGTGCATTCCAGAGGGTGGGGGCCGCAAGACTGAACGCCCTGTCACCCACAGTACGAGGTCGAGAGCGGGGGATGGAGAGCAGGCCCGTGTCTGAGGACCGCAGACTCCGAGAGGGGGTGTAGGGATGTAGGTCTGTTAAGTACTGGGGGGCGAGGGTGAATCCGGGACTTGACCGGCAGCCAGTGGAGGTGGATGAGGGTGGGGGTGATATGTTGCCATAGCTTAGTGCGGGTGAGAAGCCTGGCGGCAGAGTTCTGGACATATTGGAGCCTGGCGAGGGTTTTGTTGGGAACCCCGGAGAGGACTCCATTGCAGTAGTCCAGACGGGATGTGATGAAGGCGTGTATGAGTGTTTCTGCCACAGAGTCAGAGAGTGAGATAATTTTGGAAAATAGCTGGAAATAAGGTCTGTGGTTGACACACATTTAAGAGACGGATCACGTTTTGTTCAGCCGGATAATATCCACATGTCTACCCTACTTTTATAATTTTCAGTTCAATACACCGACTACCACATAGAGACGAGACGTTGTTTGGAATTGAGCCGTCGTGGCGGCGAGGCCTCCCGACATTGTCACCCCTCCCCTTTGGTTTGGGCTTAGAGGAAAACATTGCATGCGACCGGGCAGAACACTGGTAGCGAACTCCCCTCCCACAAACTAAATCGACCCAATTCTAACGAAGTCTTATTTGGAAACAAATATAAATAAAGGAAACCAAATGTCAAACGACAAAGGCGACTTCCAGTGGTACAACGTATAAACATTTCAAGGTTTTAAGTTCGACGTTCATCAAAGTACAACTTATTTTTTTTGGGATCTTACCTCTGAATGCCGGGGCAGGTGTGCCAGGTCGCACGCAACTTCCGGTCCCAAACTCAATCCGTTCATTACCATCTTCGGTCGCCAAAACTCATCGTCATACATCCTCGGTTTAATTATGTATTTTATGTACCGTACACAGTTACCTTACTCATAGTAGTAAATCGATTGCTCCAATTATCCGATTTGAGGTTTGTACAAAATAAGGGTTTTCTTGATTGCGTCCGCGGAACTTACTGGTTATACCGGACGTGACGTGAAGGTTCCAACGCGTTAGAGTACGCGCACTCGCACGACGCGGTCCGGTTCTACTACACCACACGCATCAACTTGGAAAAGTATAAATCGCAAACACACACACACAACCACACACCACACACAACAACAATTTTCACTGCACTGCGGTAAGTGAAACTGCAGTCGAAACGCCGCTGCGTAACACGAACGCAGCGAAGTGAAACGGAGGCGCAACGAGAGAAGTTTTTCAACTCTTTTTCAAGTTGAAAAGTTCGAAGCTGCTTCTCGCAAGGCCGGTTAAGTTATATAACGGTCATTGTTCGAAGACGGTTTAGTTTCGCGCACGAACCACAGGCCCCGCCCTATAGCTACACTAACTTTAAACGAAGTTGCGTGCGACGTCACCCTGCGACGCAATGAGAATGAGAATCTAGAGTTCACTATTGAATATAGGCACATCCATGGGTTTACAATTCATCATTCCATTAAATTTTATTAATTTCAATTTACTCTGTTTCATACATAACATGTTCATTTATTTTTTAGTGTTCTGAGCTTGAAGTAATTGTAACACCGTACATTTCAGTTAGGAGTGTTAGACATACAAATACTCTCGATGACCACGGTATAGTAAACGAGACAGTAGGGTCCGTAAAGTGATAACACTCTGTATGGGACTGTTAAGTCAACAGTCACATAGTAAAAGTGAATAATGAATAATAATACAATACAAGACAAAGATTACAAGGAAAACCCAACCGGACTGTACTGGCCACTTTGCGGCCGGTTCAAATTGTCTTAAGAGACTTAAGAGCTACTGTGGTCCTTCGATCAAGACGGATTACCTAAGGTCTCTGTTACCCGCGTTCGAATGACTATCTTCAGTCCTTTCACACACTCACCGGTGTCACTGCGTAGATTTTGGGCCTTCATTTGAGGAGGCCAAGGGAGCTGGTTTTTCCGTTACGTTAAGAGGTATCTTGATCGACCTTTATTCCAGACACCAACTGTGTGTAAATTCTCTGCCTAGTGCAAAAACAAGTCAGCACTAGTATTTAGATTAACTATAATAATACTAGTTATCTA